TAACAGAATATGTTAAAACTTAAAAATTGTTATGTCTCTAAAAAAAAAACTACAATTTTTCAAACATTAAGAAATATTAAATTTGAAAAATCAAATTTGGATATGCTTCAATTAGGAATTAACTAGAATAATTCAATATTATCTCAAATGACTACAAAATTTTATCTTCCTTCCATTTCTTTCTTCAAGCTCTCATTTATTCTTAGGTAAAGCTGGGTTCACTGATTCTTATACTGTAATAAATACTTTCAGACCGTTAAATGCACAATTTAGTTATAAAATAATAGGATAAAATGGAATATATATTTTTGATTTGTACAATGTTTTCATTATTATAAATAAAAAAAAAATACCAATGTTATTATAAATAACACCTATCAAATATATCTAAATTATGAGTAAATCTTGGATTAAATTGATAATATTTATTACAAAGATAAGTTACTCTATATGAAATTAAGGAATTGAGTTCAAAAATTATCAACATTAGATTTAAGCAATTAATCAAAAATATAGAATAATACCCAAGAAGTATGAGATGAATGAAGCTGTCTTGTTGAATAGAAATAAAACAAATAAGAAAAAGGCATTTAATCTAATTCCTTAGATGTTAGAAACTTCTAAAAAATTAAAATTACAATTATTTTATTTTTAGATGGATCAAATATAGACGTTAAATAAGTTTTTAAAAATTAAACATATTCAGCTGACCTTAATCAATCATGATCCAGAATAGGTACTAAAATTAACCTATCAAATAAATGAACATAGAGAATTACGAAAGGTTTAGGATTAATATGAATACTTATGAATGACACAACTTAATGCTATAAAAGATCATTTGAAAAAAATTAAATTATTGGTAAGATAAAAATATGGCACTCCTCTTAAAATTCTACAAGCAGTTTCCTTATATCTAGAGAAGATGATTCTGTGATATTTTTATGACACAATAAGGATTATTACAAAAAATATATTTCAAATTAAAAATGTTATTTATCTGGACTAAAATAAATTGATGAATTTGCTGAATAGTTATTGTTCGCTTTAATATACTTGTTATTTCTTTGTTAAAAATTTTTTTTTTCTTAAATCTTTAGGGTTAGATAAGATAAATATATAAACACTTCGATTAGAAAATCTTTCCCTTTCAATAATTTTGGTAGGTGATACGAAATATAAATTCCAACGACTCAAATGCTTCCTTCTTTAAGTAAATTATGCATATTATATTAAGCTCCTCTTGTATTCAATAAGCATTATTGAAAACAACAATTTACAATATTTTTAAATCAACTAGTAAAATCTTTATAATTTTTTCATTTCATATCCATAAGTTCCATGAGGAGCAGCATAATTTTAACTTAAATATAAAAACAAAACCAACTTTATACTCCTAATTAAATGATATTTGTGATTTAATTATGCAATACTGTATTTAAAAGGAAAATATTACAATCGAATTATTTATTCATCTTCAGATGAAGGATTATTTCAATTATAAGCATCTTTTAATTTAAAACTTGAACCCACTGTGATATCATTGATAATTTTGAGCGTTTACTTGCTCCATATTTGTGCTTATATTATTACTCTTTTTTATTTGGATTGGATGATTCTGTAATAATTTATTTTATTACAAAAAGCAACTATTTTTTTTTCTCATATGATTTTTGTGAACTAGAAACTTATGACAAAATATTAGTTAAATGTAATATTGTATTAGGTTACATGACAATTTGTATTATTTAATCACAACCAATAATTATTTTCTTCATTCTATGTTAAATTTAATGACAATTCATTTATCTTGTTTCTAATATTAATACTTATATTAGAGCAAAATGAAATGAAAAAATGGTAACGCCTGCATCTAAAATCTTAAGGTCATTCAATATTAAATAATTAGATTAAATTAGAATTCTTCATTCTTTTAACGAATATAATTCTTATTGTCTGACTCTGTTGTGCTTACCTTACACTTATTTAAGAGTTTCTATTTCAAAATAGATTTTGTTAGAAAAAATTAACTAAATGATAAATGCTTGATTATATCATCCGTTATTCATTAAAAAAGCCTAATTTTTCATTTTAACTTTAACTATAATCTAATATTTCAATTTGAGAATTATATATTTGATTTGAATTTAATTTTTAAATATTAATGGTAATTACATTCACTATATAATATTTTTATGAATATTAATATTAATAATAAATGACTAAATTACCCTTTTGAATATTTGATCTTACTTTTACTTTCTTTATAACTAATGAAATTTGTAAATTTATTTTTTAATTGATTAATTTCATATATATTATATTCAAATTAATTTAATTAAATTATTTAAATGACATGGATTAGAAACTAGTAATTAATTTATTTATCAACATACATTAAATTATGTAATATTTATTTTTGATATGAAAAAGATTTTACCACTCCTTCGGATGTCATTAAAAGCAAACTTAAATTGATCTTAAAGTTATGCTAATCATATTTGTCAACACCTTTTCATTTTTAAAGGTGAATTCTTTAGAGTACTAAAATAACTAGATGTCCTAAAATATTGCGCATAGTCAATTTTTTCAAAATCTACACCAAGCAATCGAAATTCATTTTGAGTCTTAACAATTATCCTAATTATTATGTTAAAAAGTTTCAAGAGTCATAAGGATAAATTATTGCAGAATAATTTTTTTATTACAATTCTGATCTAAATAAAGCTAGTAAATAGGTTGACTTACAAAACCCCCCCCCCCCTAAAGATTAAATCAATCATATTTTTGTGTATTTTTTGATATCTACTTATAGTAGTACTAATAATAAATGAATTTTCTATAATTTTAACTTTTATTGGTGAATCATTGCCATTAACTTGGAGAAAAAACTTTAATTGGAATATATATTTTAATTTATAGATTTCAAAATTTCTATTTTTTCATAGATTTTTTTCTGGATTTAATATTTTAAAAATTTGTATAATCAATCATGATAATTTAATTTCATCCGAGATTTAGAACCATTAAAAGAAATATCAGTTTTATGAGAAATAAAGTCAGCATTCATTATGTTAGTGTCAATAATTTTGTGTTTAAAATGCTTGTTCAACTTGATTCAAATTTATTGAATTTTGTATAGGCAATTATCACACAACAATCAAGACAAGTACTAAAATGAAATTATTTTTTCTTGAATACCATTTAATTAAAAGAATTAAATTATTTACTATTATAAACACTTATAATTCTTCCCAATCCAAAGAGGAAATCTTGATAATCACGTTTATTTAGTAAAATTTTTATACTCTCCAAAAACTTCTAAAAATGAAAATTAGATGATTTAAAAAGAATTTCAGAATTTTAGATACTTTGTGTAAGAGTTAGAGGAAATTTGTTTTAAGAAAAATAGTTAAAGACTATTTATTAAGAGAAAAATGCTGTAATTTAACTTCAATGTATTAATAGCTTTTTGAATCCAAAAAAGAATGATTGAGATTTTCTAATGTTTTATTAAAGTCAAATTTGAATAACCTTTTTGAGTGCCAGCTACATGTACATTTGAAATGAAAATCAACTTTAATAAAAATTAGTATAAGCAATTTTCTGTCCAAATTAGAATTAAACCATTTTCATTATCCATCTTATTTTATAACAATAATTAACATTTAATAAGTCATTCAAATTATTATAAAGCCAAAAAAGCTTGCTATAATATCTTATTGACTTATAAAATATCACAAACATACTTTCAAACTTAGAGGCATTTGTATTTAATTATCCTAGAGGATTCAATAAAGATAGTTTTTTATTTTCATCTTTTAAACAAACTAAAACCTTATATTAGTTTAACTGAAGTAATAACCTTAATCTTAAACAATTTTTTAATTTTCCATCCCAACGATTTAGGATAATCAAATGGAAATGATGAACCTTCTACTCACACTCAATAGCATTAATAGAAAATTATCAGATCTTATTAAATACTCCCTAGGATGATAAACAACAAATTAAAACAATAATAAAGGAAAATGAAATACTTTCTTTTAGTTGATTTTCAGTTAACTTTTCAAATACAATAGTAAGAGATTTCTATTACTCTTCTATAATAGATAGTGAGCGCTAATTTCGTAACCTAACAAAATTATTTTATTGAGATGAATTACCTGAGATAACTTTTCTTTATTCAGAATTGATAATCATTAGTAATTATAGTCTCAAATTAATTATATCCAGCAAATCCTTAAATCCTCCTCTACATTAAATAAAAAGTTAGCTTCTAAAGAAACATGTTTTTTTTCTTTTGAATAGGGTGTCACTAACTTTTGTTATACCTTATGGATATGATTCAGTTTTTCAATACTATTTTTCCTATAGGAATTGAAATATTAGAATGTGATCACTAAAAAAATTTCTTTTAATTATATAACTGAAATTTACTTATTTGGATAAAATATTTTGGTATAAGTACTTTTTGCTTTACTTGATTAAAATATTTTCACAATTTTTTAATTATTCATCCTTCTTACATCAGTGTTTGTAAAAAAATTTTTTACTAAATCAATCCTTCCCAAATGGTATAATTATTCTCTACTATGTAGTTGATTATCGCAATAGCTTATATTTATAAGGAAGTTAGTTAAAATATGCTCATATTACTATTTGGCAATTAATATGATAATCTAATTGACATTCTTTTTTAAATTAATATTATCATGCTTTAAATATTCATTATTCAAAACCTTAATATTAATTTGTATTCCATAATACAAGATTCTTCTGATGCTTTTTAAATATTCTCTCACCTTCTTTTATAAAAGAAACCAAATAATATGTGAATTCAAGAACATTTTTTGATTTATCCCAATTTCAAATTAAATCAAACCTGAATTACTTAACAAACTTCACAAAAATAAACAAACCAGCTTTAAAAAGAATATATGATTATTAGAATCAAAATTTTTGCGATAGAAGTGTTTTCGCAATTGCTAGTTTTTTACTCAAAATTTTTTAGAAAACAATATTTATAAAATTATCATTATTTAATAAAAGCTAATGAATTAATAGGGGCTTTTTCTTTATTCATCTTTAGGTAGGTTTAAAAAAAAAACAAATAGAAATCCAGCAATAGTTAAACTAATAATTCCAACAGCTAGATTTGTCAATTGTATTTTATTTATACCCTGTTCTTTGTACTTGCTATTAAATAATTTAATCATAAATTTTATTTAGTTGAGAAAGATTATTAATTAATCTAATTTGCCGAATTCAACAAGCAAATCAGTATTGCTAGAATCAACAATACTCTTTCTCTCCAATATTTTCCCAAAAATAGTCAGCACAACCTATAAAATCGAAATTTCTTGTGCAAAATTAACTTGCCTTTGAGCATATATTATGATTTTTATAGTATGATTTTTCAACTTTTAACAATTTTAATAATATTTACTGATTAATGCAATCAAATAATACGCACTAGCCCCAAGCTATATGCACCTGTATATATTATAATTCGTAAAAATATTCTTCCAGTATCTCTTCACATGAATAAGGTGCCACTTTAAATCATCCTTTTATTACACAATGCAATTCCCATATTAGTGACAATATGTTAGACGATAATCAATTGGAGCATGAGAACATTATTTTTATTTACTATTATCATTATGCCATATAAAATATTAGTATTCTATCAAATAAAAACCAATTTCAAAATCATAAGCATCACATGCCTGGCTTATTTTTACATCCTTTATTTTACGAAGTACACATTATTAGATTCGTTTTATTCTAACACAATCTAATAGATTGTCATAATCCTAGCTTTATTGATAGATCTTAAGGAAATCTTGAGCAGTGTGGCAGCTCTTTATATTACATTAATCTTTATGATATTCGCATATTTTTTTTTATCAGCATCAACACCAAATTTATTCTCAGCAATACTACACCACTACCTTTTTACACAATGAATTCCATTTATTTGTATAACATAGATAGATTAAACTCATCTTTATTAATTATATATTTTCATACTCTTAAATATGTCTTACATTCATAATCCTGAGTAAATGGCAAATTTTCACACTCCTTTTCAATACATATACCTCTTGTTTGAATCCAAGAAACAATTATTTTTTAAAACATTAAAAATTTTTGACCTATTTTGAAAAAGACTTCATTTATTTGATACATAACTTTTCTAGCTTATAGTACACCCTTCAAAACCCTCTTTGCACATGCTATGATTAGTTAATAAATTGGTAACTTTTTGCTAATATTTACATTTGTACATTTTTTCTCCACCCCCACAATCAAAAACTATTCTTACCATTCTAATTTTAATTCGCAAACACATTCTCTGCTTTATAATCACTACATTCTAACATCATAATAAACTTTGAGCCAACAGACACCTTTATATAATGATACTTAACAATTATCTTTATTGAATATGCTGCAATCTATTAATCCATAAATTAACCATAATTTAAGCCACATTGTTCTTATTCTCTTCACGGCAGGGATTCTAATTATTAATTTACATTGCATGATTGAATGGAATTCAAAATACACATGCCCAAAAATATATTTTTTGAAATTTCTGAATCTCTTATTTCAATTAATTGGATGAATAAAAGATAATAGAAAATACTTAAAATATTGAAAATTATTTTTATACAAAATTAAAATAAAATAAAACCTAAATGTAAATTTTTTTAATACAATACTTCTAAGACTCAAAGACTAATATATTCCTCCGTCTATGAACAATTTAGATTCAATCTCTGCAGCCACAGGGTAATGTTATACCTCTAACCAAAACTTGAATAATTATATTGATGCTATGAATGTATAAGCAAAAAAAAACATTTTGTAACATTGATTTGATACAAGAAGGCTTTGAAAATAGTTGACTTAATTTACTAAAATTTGAATACAAAAATGACAATCCTTATTTATAATTAATGATGAAATTACCTAGCAGAAAAAAGGAAAGGTTGAAAGTTAAGATACTTAGAATTTAACAACAAACCTTTGATGATCTTTGATTGAAATAATTGATGATTTGGTTACTAATATTAACGAATAATAATTTTCAATAGAAAATAAGAAATTTATAGAAATATCAGATGAGATGAGCTATAATGAGGGATATTGGATCAAAAGTAAAATATTAAAAATAGTTTCCTAAAATATAAATAGATTCCTGCACTCGAAAAAGACTTTAGAGTTAATCCAACTAACTAATTAAAATTGTTCATAACTTTGCTATGAACAATTAATTTTATGAATCCTATCCTAAAACATGATTAATTTGGAATTCGAACAAAGTGATTGAGCAATTAAGAAAATACCTAGAAGATGTATTTTTTATCTAGTATAATTTATGCTAAGTCAAGAGGATTAATTTTTCAAAAATTTCAAATAGATAATTACTTTTGTCATAATTCTTGATTATGTAAAAAAATTACTAACCAAATTATTGAAGAAAATAAAAATAAGCATTTCTAGATTTAAAATTAAATTACGTCTAATAAAGCTACTGAATTATAAATTTAGGGTTTATTATATTGAAATAATTGCCTTAAAATATTTATTGGAATAGTCTTAATCCTAAAACAAGTTATAAGCTCTGTTTTTTATGTTTTGATCATAGCTCACATGTGTAAATTGTATCATTCACAAAAAATCAGGAAATAATATTATATTAGATCCAAAAGTTCTAAATCCATTAAATAATTAGGATAATTATTGTAGAGCAAGCAAAAGTAGTGATGGTAAATATATAATTTGGACAAAAAACTGTCTTAAATATGATTTACCTTTTGAGAATATTTTAATGATTAGGATATAAATATTACTAATATTCATAATCCCTATCCATGAGGATCAACTTTATTTATAATATAAAAATATTGAAATAGTTAGTTGTTAATAATACTAGTACATTGAAATACTGTTTAATTTACACAAATAAAGAGATTAAATAAGATGGCCTTCATTCATTCAATCTTTATTAATAGTTAAGTTTCTTCCCGTTGGAATTATATGCTAGATGTAATGTTGGTTAGAATGTATAAAGAATCAATAATTAAACTTTCATAATTTGAGATTACTAGTAGAAAAAGATGGAAGTACTAAGATTATCTGGTGATATAGCTGATCTGATCATATTACTCCGATATATATGATAAAATATTAAAAGTATTGAATTTTAAGCCAGTTCATTTAAAATATATTGAGTCAATAAAATTGAACTATTTTATTGACCCAATATAAAACATAAATTGGTGAAAAGAAATTTTTCTTTTCACTGTAATTTTATAAATATTTATACATAAAGTTGTATTTTTATATTCTATTTTTCCGTTTAATCATTAAAAATATCTATTAAAAAAAAGTTGTATTTTGATATTCTATGATATTATGTAAAAAAATTTCACTAAAGTTATTCTAATAATTTTCGGTTGTTTTTTTTATTTTATAATATGATAATAATAATTTAAAATATTCTTAATCTTATTACATTTATTATTTATTCTGATTTTCAATAGCATTATGTTAAATTATTGAACATAAAATACTTTAACATTTTATTTTAATAATTTCGAAGACTAACAAAAATTAATTTAAAGAAAATATCAATTTATTAATAATTAATAGTATTATCTAAAATAAATTATGATGATATTATAAATCTATTTAATTAAGTTGTAAGTTTATTACTTTAAACTTGTTTTAAATTTTTCATTTTTAGAAAAAACTGCTATACATCTATAAATCTTTTAATTATAAAATACTACTTTTTATTTAAGGCTTTATGTTTTGAATAATATTAAAATCTCATAACTTTATAATTATGTATTTTCTTAATTTAGTTTTATTTCTAAACTTTTTAACCAATTAACTCAATCAATTTATAAATATAAGAAATTTCGTTATTTTCTTTGATATACATTATTTTACAATTATAAATCATTTTAACATATAAGTTGAAAATTATATCATCTATTAATCCCAATTTAATTACAATATTGTTCACTTATAAGTGAAATTTAAATTCAAAATATAAATAACAATTATTAACATTTATGTTCAAAGAAGGATTTTATCTTAGAAGTCAATGCTTCCATTATATATTGCTAATTACAGCATTATAATAAAGGTATTTTTATGTAAAGCAGAAAAATTAGAATTAAAACAGAATATATATGAAGGTTGATTGCGATTTAAGCGTTTAGGATTAATTAAACTATCTTTAGTCAAAATAGGGATAGTTGATTTGGAAATCTAATTTATTTTGGGAATTTAGGTCCAGAAATCTACTTTGGGGGATTGAAAAGCATCATCTTCCCAATAAAATATTGCCTATCAACATACTATATACTTAGAATCCAAATCATATAAATTTTTTTCTTCAAATTAGGAATTAAAAAAAATAATAACTGAGGAATATATTAAGGAAGACTTTTTATTAAAAATTAAGATTATTTAATCATTAAATAAATCTCTTGGTATAAATATTTCAAGGAAGAATTTTTTAAAGTATGAAAACCTCCAACACATCCTTAATCAAAAAGAAAAACAGAAATAGAAGAAATCTGATAAGATTGAAAAAATAGAAGTTTTAAAGCAAAAAGTATCAAAATAATCATGACACATTAGGGAAACATAATATAATGTATATTTTATGAAAATTATTATTTTTATTGAAATCACAAATAGTATTTAACATTCATTAAATCAATTTAATAATTAAAATTTTTGCCTGTGTCTGGATATGATGTTTATTAGAAATTGATTCAAATATTGAAAGCTCATAGACATGAAAACATGCAGAATGTTCAATATTAAGTATAAATTATATATCAAAATATCTTCTTGTGTATTTCCAAAAATTTTTATAAATGAGAATAATACTTTTGAAGATTTAGTTTCTTCCTAAATTAACTTGTTATATCTAATAAATTAGTTAATAATCTACTCAAAAGTACTTAATGAGGGGGAAAAAAAATAGCATTTGCCATAAGCATTAATATGAATCTTAATAATAAATTGAATTAAAAATAAGCATTTCTTAATTATGAGACAAGGTTGGCTAATCAACCTTTAATTCGATTCTATAATTTTGTACAAAATTAAATTATTGAGAAATGTAAAGTTAATAATAATGAATGGAATTTTATTATTAAGATAAAAACATTAATAAAAATAATTGGATTATTTTAATTTTTTTAATAATGTAATCAGTTATTATTAAATTAACAATCTATAAATTTATCGTTTATATTTATAAACATATTTTGAATTTTATCATTATAATCTTATTATAAATGGTATCATTACCATTAGTTTAAAGACATTCCTAAGTATCAAAACATGTTAAATTGTTTATATAACCAAATACAATTTAATTTAGCAAATTATTATCATCTTTTAAATTATCTTCTAAGCATTGATATTATGATGCAATCCAAAAATTAAATCTTCAAAATACTCTTAGTTATTCTCAAAATTATTTGTTCAAAAAGTATCAATATTGTATGAAAAATAATAACATCAAAAATGTACTTAATTTTAATTAATTTAGTAAATAGGGGAAAATTAGAACAAATTTTCCTCAAATTTTATTGGTAAAGGAGAAGCGCTTGATCAATATTAAATACTTAGAGAAAGTTTTAGTCTAAAGATTTAAAGATTCATGATTAAAGATTTTAGTGAAATAGCTTTCCCTCATAAACCATTTATAGTTGATCCTCATTTTAATTTTGAAGAGTAAAAGAATCTCCCTAACCTAATATTTTAGATTAGATTTAATATATTTGAAAAAAGAATTTTGTAAATAATTAAAAATAAATTAACAAAAATAATAATCCATTACATAATGAAATATATTCAAATAGGGAACCTAATTTTCTAATACCTCCTTAAGGTATTGAAATTAAAAGTTGAATCTATCTGATGAGATGTAATTTTATTTTGCTTCTAGTTTTACTTTAGGGATCAATTAAGTTCTTTAAAGGAATTTTATGAAATAGATCTAGATCCTGGCTTATGTAAATTGGAAAATTATGTTTACAAAGATAATTTGATAAGGTTCTATTTAAAGCGATTCTTATGAATTTCTTACTTGAGAAGATTTATGTTACATAAGGTACTTAATGACAATAAAAGAATAAATGCTGAATAAAAAAATAATTTAAAACTGAAAGGAAGTAGATGTAATATGAATATACCAATAACAAATCTAGTGTAAGTGGTTATCCCTTCCGAATCTATATTACAACAGTTCTCATCTAAGATATTTACTAAAAAAATAGAAATAGGATCAGACTTTACGTTTTTCAACTTAGGCTATTCAAGTCACATAATAGGAAAGTTATTTTACCCTAAATTTCTATTTAGCTTTCGAGCTTTATATTTAAGTTAAGGAATAAATAATTAAGATTTAGCTTTAGTTATAATAAACTAGG